TTTTCTACCTTTTCTAAGTAAAATGTAGTAATCACACCGGAATGGTCTGCAGTTTTATTTCTCTTATCCCCCAAGGCTTCTAATAATTGCCAACAACCAGGTGGTATGGGATAAGTCACAATGTAATTATGGGTAACATATTTGTATGGAAAGAATTGCACCCGTACATCAATAATATTCAAATATTAAAAAAGATGTGTATAAGCTTCACATGACAATAAATAAGCAATTTTAAATTAAACAATGGATTGAAACATTCAAAACAATCAATCACAGATTAAAAATTCTTTTATAGAGTATAAAGCTTTATCCAGTAATCTTACCAAATAAGGTCATCTGTAGTGAGTTTAGGTTTTGTTGCCATATACAGGGTGACTTTGAAGTTGAGTCATTAATTTTCAGATAATGATTGTAGGAAGATAAACCAAAATATGTGTGTAAAAATAAAAAAAAATTAAAAAAAAATTTTACCTTGTTTTATAAAGTATCCTCCCGACAAGTATTTCAGTGCGGACCTGCATTTGGTCGTGAGGTCTTGGAGCACTGGCATGCCGTCACCTGATTCACGAGCCCGTTGTACTACATTAACAAAGGCACGAGGGGTTGGTTGCACTCGATTGGAAAACCGATCCGCATAAACATGTGCCATTTTTTATTTCGTTTGAGCCACGCAACAGACACCACTATTCACTGACACTGACTGTATACAAATGAATAAAATAATTGTAAAAACATCGTTCCAAATTCTTTCGCTTTTTTGTTTCCGATGCGATGAACCGATACGGCGGATTATATCCGTTGTCGCCAAACACGAGCACATAATATTATTATTGAGACAGGGCGGTACTCAAACTTCCAAAGGGCTATAACTTTGTTACTTTAATTTTACCAGAAAAATGGTAAAGGAAAAAACATTTCCTTTGATCAGATCTACTCACTGTTAAAATAAATGACTCAACTTCGAAGTCACCCTGTATTTTGACTTTCCTCCTTTTTCGATAACCTATTGATGGCACCCCCACAATCCGCTGTTTCGCGTACGGTATATTCCAGAATTTATAGAGCCAAAATTGTCCAGGTGCGTTTTGACGTAAATCAACGTATTTAATGTGTATACTGAAGGCAGCGATAATATCTCAAAGTTACATATTATACTATTTAGACTCAATATCCGACAGAAAAACCTATGAACCGATTTGTTCATAGAAGCAGCTTCTAAGCAGTCAGCGAGTCAAAATGAATTTTTACGTCCAAAGCAGCGCGTTCAGTTAAAAGCCCAGCTCGGACGATAAAGAGGTGACAATCTTCGTGCAAAAATTAATGAAAACACTGAAGCAGAATAAAAAACGGATGTTGAACAAAGGCCCGTTGATCTGGAAACTCGACGGAGATCGTTGAATTTAATATTCTCGCCCTTGCTCTACATTCCTCGTTCCAACTATTCCCCAAGTCGTGAATTATCAATTGCTGTTGTGATGTTATACGTCAATAGCGTCTGCTCCTAATTACAGGCAGCTCCTGCTAATTATTTGAAGCTATATCTACCTCTAGCCATCGTTCAGATAGTAACGGCCGTATCGTCAATCGTTCCTGAAATTGTAGAACGCTCTTATGGAATCCTTGATTTTCATAGTTTTCTACTATTCCGCGTCAGCGCTCTATTTTGAGGTTATGGAATAAATATCTGCATCAAATTGTTTATGCTTTTGATTCATATCAGCCTGAAATTTCTTACAATTCAAAAAGAAAACATAGCCTCACAATAGGAGAGCCCTGACGCTGACGCAGAACAGTAGAAATACCCCATCCTTTCTGAAGGAGAGGAAATACTATGAAAATCAAGAAGGCCGTAGAGACGTCCTACAATTGGAGGAACAACTTATGTGCGGCTCTTGAGGCACTCATCTGAATATAAATCAAAGTAATAGGTGGAACAGACTGAGGAATACATTTGAAAATAATACTTCAATAACGATTTCTTGCGTTTGAACTGTACATGCGTTCTTTTCTAAGATCGCGATGATTTAGCTCAATAAAATTGGGTATTTACTATTAAAATTATCAGACGCAGGTTCCTCTTTAAGCAGAGATGAGTCATTTGATGTTTTGAAAATTAATATACATATTCTCAAATCCATTTGAAACTTTAATCATGATCATTTTTGTTAGACTCCATATGATCGGTTAATAAATGAAATTAAAGAATCGTGGAGTTACCCAATTACTTTGAAAAACATGTTAGACTCTAAGGAATCTATTGAGAAATTAGAATATAACCGTTCTGTTGGATTTTCCTAAAATTGGTTATATTTCCTATTGTATAATTTTGGAACATACCTATACTTTTTTCATACGTTATATAATTACCTTTATGTGCTGGCATGTCTTCGTATTCTGCTATAGAAATAAATTCACACAAAAAAACACCTATATAAAAGTTGCATACCAAGAGAAATAGTATAAGATTGCAAATTTTGAAAAATAAAAATCTTAGCATTTTTTGTTTTCAACTCTCATCGTTTATCTACGTCTGGTACCTTCATGATTGTCCGTTTGTATATTCTTTGTGTATTTATATCTTCAATCCTTCATCCAAAGTTGTTTTAGCGTTCTTACTAATGCAATAACAGAAAATAACTACTTTGTTTACGTTTTCCTATGCTTAATAAAGTGTAAAAGTCACACATTTTTCCCTATATCTGCAATGGAAACAGAAACATGATATATACTAAGTGACAGATAAATCCGAACACCCAATTTAAATGGTTTTATTTTAATAAAATTTTGTATAAGTACTTTATGAAGCATAATAAGTAAATGATAAAAATTTCAAAATGATTGCACTGCTTTAAAGCCCTTTTACCTTTAATAATGTGTGGATGCACCCTGATGTGCTACGCATTCTCCAACGCGCCTAGGCATGTTTCTTATCCACCTGCCGTTCTGTCTTTTTTGTCTGTATGAACTAACTGATAAACAAACCTTGTCTTTCAATGTTGTCCATATTTTTAAGAGTTTTGCTGTGTAGTTGTCAAAAAATATTACCACTTGCAGAAACCTGTGCATCAGTACACCTCCCTAAAGTCGCACAGTTAGTACAGCCATTGATATTCGCTGGGAATTTTTTTTGTCCTTGGCCTAATATTGACGTATTAAAATTTAATGGAGCAAAGGGACAGACGACAAGATTTTTTCTGTTACGCATGATTTTTAAGAAACTATATAAAACCTCCATACTTTTTGCAGTTCCGGACTATCGCGTTCTGGGTTGTTTTTGTCATGTCCGGGAAATATATTGGTATCTGCTCCGAAAAATATTTTGATTTCGTGTTCTCGCGCAACCTTATTAATATCTAAATATGTTGCCAGACCCGAAATTGTGTCAAATACTGTTTCTTTTTTAAGATTATACACAACACGTAATCAGAATATTTTTCAAATCAGATGTGAAGACACTTCCTCGACTATTACCGCAGGATGATCGCACCCAAAATGACATGTAGCTATTCAATGCCGCTTCTTCGCTAAAATGGCCTTTACAATGCCTTGACTTACATTGATTGGTTTTTTTGGAAAATGTGGGAGATGTCAATCGCTTGTGTGACTTGTTCTATGAAAAATCATACTTCGTTTTTGACCTGTACGTTCCGAAATATATTAAGCTTAAGCATCGTTATCCAGGTTAGTATAGCTCGGATATTATTCGAAATTTCAACAATACAAACGTTACAAAAGTCAGGAAATCTATTGACAATTTTCTAGGGTCCGTACACTTGTTAAACAACAGATAAAAGACTGTTACAATCTATATATGCAAAAAGTTGAAAATGATTTGGTTACAACATCCCGTTGTTAATACTCAGCATGACTGTTTTCATTTGGGTAACTTCACAGATGAGGATATTCTAAAGGCGCTGTGTAAATCACCAAACAAGTTAACAGCAGGAAAAGATATGGTACCGAGCTTTGTAGTCCGTGATACGGCGCACATATTTGTCACGCCTTTGAAGAAAATTTTCAATTATTCCCTCAGTACAGCAACTTTTCCTACAAAATGGAAACTGACTAGAGTGTGCGCTATTTTTAAAGTTGGGGACCCTAGTAAAATCGAAAATTACCGAGCTATATATTTGTTTTATACAATTTTATATGCAGAGGTCGAAGATCATCGTACCTAGCTGAACCTACCTAATCACGATCCACTTCACGCCATTTTTTTGTATGGCAGCAAACGGAACTTTAGTGAACGAAATTGTGTACAATGGCCGGTGATAAAACTGGGCAATAAATCCAACGCTCCTCCCACCGCATTGTGGGAGTATACAAAGTTTGACAATGACCGATTCGGCGAGAGAAACGCCACTGTACAAGACACACACCGAAAGGCAATAAAGCTATTAACGAACACCTTGGCGTGATAGAAATCTGGCTACGGACATGCAAAGGTGCATGTACCATCGATATAAGAGACCGAAACAGATTTCAGTTTTCGGCATTGTCTTTCATTAACCAGCAGTAAATAAGAGGGAGAACACCTGCTAATTATGCGAATCGCTGATTGGATGGAGTTGAATAGGTATGTTCAGAAAAGATGTGTAACTAGGTCCATGAACGTAAGGCTTTTCCTTGTAATAATCGCGTAATGCATACGTTGTTTGAAAAGCCATCTGGAACTGGAATCGTTGCAAAAATCGCAGTCGGCTTTATTAACTGTATGTACTGAAGGCACTACCCACAATGTCGAAATACATTGCTGCATTTGCAGCGAACGAGTTTGTCTCTCCGACTTAGAACATCCGGACCTGGGGACCGTCACCCTGACAGATTCTTCCGGATGAGATTTCTTTTTCCATATACTCATGTCCGATAAACCGCGTTTTTCCAAAAACATTTTTTTTTTCGTGAAACTTTTGATCCAATCTTCACATCACCTTGATGGACTTCAGGCAGGTAAGTTCCTCTAGAATCTAGGTCGGACACTATAAAAATAAAAATGCTGGTCTGATCTATATACAAGTTTATTTAGGCATTATTAAAGAACCAGCCCACTAGGCAGCAAGCGGTTTGAAATTTAAGATGATAGGACCTTTAGGAACAAGGCTAAACACCAGCGGAGTGTACTCCACTTTCTTTGGAGTATCAGGTAGAGGTTCCAGCTCGAAGTTTGTCAAGATATGCGCTACAGCAACCTTTATGTCAAGCAAAGCGAACCTTTCACCTAAAAAATATTTAAATTTACGTTTTTAACGTTTTTTGAATATAATGGTTTTGTGGTTGTTCGTCATCCCTTCAGCAAATGTCTCCATAGATATAAGCAGTAGAGCACAATTATATATACTAAAGGCATAGAAAATGCAACACCGTCTAGAAGTGCTCTGAATTTGAGCATACTTTTACAAGTTTCTGATTAAAATTTTAATTCGAAATTTCGCAAAATAGCTGGGAATTACCACTTTAATCTAATAATGTGCTGAAGCTCCTCTGTTCACTGCATTGATTGGAGTAGGTGATTGATGTCTTGGTGTATTATACTAAGTGACATATAAATCCGAACACCCAATTTAAATGGTTTTATTTTAATAAAATTTTGTATAAGTACTTAATGAAGCATAATGAGTAAATGATAAAAATTTCAAAATGATTGCACTGCTTTAAAACCCTTTGATCTTTAATAATGTGCGGATGCACCCTGATGTGCTACGCATTCTCCAACGCGCCTAGGCATGCTTCTGATCAGGTGGTCAATGTCCTCCTGTGGTATCTCATTCCAGGCAACTACCAACTCCTCTCGAAGTGCTTCTAGAGTCTGAGGAGGACGTTGCAAATTGAACAATCTCCTATCCTCATATCCCACACGTGCTCAATTGGGGATAAGTCGGGAGATCTTGGTGGCCATGGTAACAATGTGACATCATTATGTTGAAAGAAGTCTATTGTGACTCTTGCAACATGTGGTCGGGCATTATCTTGTTGGAAAGTTGGATCTGCCAGGGTGTCAAGATAGGGTAAAAGATGGGGTACTAGAACTTTGTGGATATAACGCTGCGCGTTCATGTTACCTCTGATGAAGATTAAAGGTGACCTGGAACCATAAGCTATAGCACCCCAAACCATAACTTCAACAGTGTGATGAACATGTCTTTCAACAAAAAACTGTGGATTCCTCCTTTCACCACGTCGCCTTCTAACCCTGGCACGACCATCGTGCATGCCTAAACAAAATCGAGACTCGTCACTAAAGACAATACTGTTCCATTCCTGATCCCAGAGTGACCGTTGTCTACACCACTCAAGGCGATTGCGTCGGTGTTCTCGAGTTAAAGGGAGGACCCAGTGTGGCCGGTATGAAAACAAGCCAAAACTTCGCATTCGTCGGTAAACACTTCGCATGCCAATAGGTCTTCCGTGTTCTGCAAACCATTCATTTGCAATGGACCTGGTAGTGGAGAAACGGTCCCTTAAGGCCAATAATCTTAGGCGGCGATCTTCACGGTCTGTTGTTCTACGGCGGCGTCCAGTGCCCCTTGCTCTTTGCGTACGGCCTTCTCGAAGCCATGCCTGACAACACCTAACCACAGTGTCTACACTTCTTTGCACTCTAACTGCAATTGCCCGAAAAGAAAGTCCAGCTTCCCGAAGTCCCACTATACGGCCCCTATCAAACTCACTAAGCTGACGAAATCGTACAGGTCTCCGTACTCTAGGCATCGTAAATGATCGTAAAGGATGTCAAGAACCAAGATCCGCCAACGTTGATTCTTTACTGCGGCTGAAATATTCATTTTTAGAGCGTTAGTGAATTAAAAAAAAGCAGTATAAAAACCGGAATGTCCAACTGATAAGGCTGAAAATTTTTTCACTTGTTATTTACAGTAAGATAAATACATTCACGAACTTTTATTAAAATAAAACCATTTAAACTGGGTGTTCGGATTTATACGTCACTTAGTAGATGTCGTTTAATATATTTTTAATAATTTATGTACGCAAATTGTGTGGGATTCTCAAATATTCATAACATTCATGGTTTTTGTTGAATAATGATCCGTGCTTAACTAGCTGATAAGAATCAAAAAATTAACAATGTGTAATTTGTTTAGATAAGGTATTTAAGATGCTTTTACACAATCTTACCTATGCAAATCCTAGGTCCCTCTCCGAAAGGAAAGAACCTCATGCCATTTTGATTGTACTGCGATTTATTCGCAAATCGTTCAGGAATAAACTTCTCCGGTTCAGGAAATATATTCTTATCGAAATTAAAGCCCAACATTGGGACATAGACTTGTGTGCCCTTTGAGATCGTGACGTCGGTACCTCTTATAGTGTAATCCTTGGTACATTCTCTGTCAAGGAACGGGAGTGGTGGATACATCCTCATGATTTCTGAAACAGAAAATGTGCATCGAAAACACCGAAGTGAAAACATATCTTCATAACATATGTATACCGGGTACATAGTCAAACCTTTCAATATTCAGCTTAAAAGACGATTTGGATAAAAATCCAAAAGTCCAACCCTGGATTTTTGAACTGACCGTGTAGCTTTACGTTACTTCTAGGAAAGTTTGTTATCGCGCAAAGTTTCAACAAAATCGGTTAAATAGTGCCCGAGAAATGTGATATTAAAGATTCGACATGTTTAGATAAATCCCCTGTATATCCAATTTTCACTTTCAGATATGAAAAGTTCTCGATCTATATATACTACCTACTACCCTTTTAAGCACGGAACACCCCGTATACAAAAGCGACACGTTCGAGGACGGATAAGAGTACGACGTTACTCACGATGAAAAAATGCGACAGGCACAATCGTGGGTTCAATACTTAGCGGAAGAGCGAGTGAGTATTCCGAATCTCCGGAAGGTGTTCTACGCCGGGCGTAAAAGTCTGACGGAACAAATCTATCGAGCTCTTTCGTCTGATAAGAGCTATAAAGACCTCCCCTGCCTAATAAAAGATACGGATCGCTGTCCTGAATAGACGTCAATTCGTCCTCTGTTAAGTTATCCCGACTTTAACATAGAAGCAATACGTTTAGTGTCATCTGTATTTATAGGTGACTTAGTGTAAGTTATGGTTACGTTGCAGCGTAGAAAACAATCAAATGTGAATGGATGAGTCGAGTGAATGAAGGAGATGCAGAGAGGAAAGAGTGCGTAATGTCACATCTGAAACTTGCCATATGATTTTTATGCTGCTAGAGCTCCATGTTTTTATGTATACATGAAACAAGGAATGTAGAAATTACTCTTTACCTTTCTTAAAGTACAGATCAGAATCGTCTGTACTCTCAAAATGGCCACCGTGGTGGCCCAAACATCAGTAAAGAATAACTTTTGCGTATGGACATGAACAATGACGAAGTTTCCTGTTATTTGAAACATACGCACATCCTCATCCCTTGCTCCGCTTGTGCAAAAGATACAGACTGATCGATTAGCAATAAAGAAACCGAAACCTGTATGTTTTCAAAATAATATCCAAATAAAATGTGAGGTGAGTCCCTGAGTTTAGGAGTAAAACAGAAAAATATGCACAATCCTATAAGCAAGAATCGGAAAAGGATGGTTGCAAAGGTCTTTGAAAGAGCGACCAGTGTGCACATTATACAAGTTGTGGTGGAAGCCTCCGTCAAATTTGAATCTTGGTGAAGTCGGCTCTAAGTAATGTGAAATGCAGCACTGAAAATACATTTGAATGTATCAAAAATGACAAAGCTACGCTACCCAGAAGTTTCTTGTTTGGAGCGTGTGACTGAGCGATGACGTCACATGACACCAGCTGTCACCGCGTACGCTTTGCGATACTTACAAGCGTTGCTCGACAAATACTGCTGTACAAATCGGTTCCACATAAACGTGTTTCCCTCGACCAAAACGTAGAAGAATTAGAAGAAAGTAGTAGATAAAATTAGCTCTTTCGCAAATTTCATTGTACTGCTATGAATATCACCTTGATGTTAGTAAGTGAGAACGGTAGATAGATTTGATCATTGCTTTTACTTCCAGATAAAAATGATATTTTTAAACCGAATGTTATAGTGTTCATATCGCGGATGGTGGGGAAATACTCCTTAAGCCTCCGGAACACAGATACTGTAGATCACAGACAAAGAGAACAAAAACCGTTCTGCAGTTCAAAACATCTACGTCGGCAAAAGTGACCCTAATGATTACCTAGATAAATTAGGAGAAACAGTTGTGATAGCGGCCATTACGATTCTTGCATGCATCATTTACTAGAAACACCAACATCAGAAGTACAGTTTTTGGCAAATTGTTTATTTATTATTCATAAGCAATCCCCCTCAAGACGTTATCAAAATCCTACCTTGAACGACCATTTCCATGTACTTCATTCCAAGAATTTTCTCGTAGGTAAATGCACCGTCATCTAAAGTTGCTTCTCTAATTTCGTCTCTAAGTTTGCTTTGAACGCGACGATGCTTCGCTAATTCGTATAACGTGTAAGCTAAACTCATGATAATAGTATTTTCGCCAGCGATGAAGAACATGAACGGTTGCCCAACAGCTTTTCTGTCTCCTGCAAAATTAGGTTATTAATCTAGTCAACTTTCGTGATTTTACTATTCCTCTGAATGATCAATCGCCTCAACATTTTACAGTGGACTCCCGATAATCCCCTGTCTAATGAGGCGCCCCCTGTAATCTGACATGTCTTTGAATATTACATACATACGTATTTGATAATATTCGCTAATGTAGATCACGCGGGTTTGAACAGGTTACAACTTGTACGCGCCACCGCTATCGTGCTCGACGCGTAAGCATTGTTTTACTTAGTTTGAATTTGACTGCTGGTGATAGCGGTACGGCCTAGCGTGCGTTCATTGTTTACTATTTATTCATTGTGTATTAAGTATAGTATCTAGTAATGTCATCACAAACTCAGAAGCGATAGCACAAAACATTGACAATTAAAGAAAAATGTGACATTTTAGACCGCTTAAATCGTAATGAAACTTTCAGTAGTTTAGCAAGTGAATACGGCGTAGGCCGATCTACAATTTATGACATTAAACGCATATATAATGTTACCATTGGATATTTAATATGTCGGATTACAAGGTACTCTTTTGTAAAAAATTCCGGACTATAGGGGGTCTTAGGCAGTGCTCTATAATCCGACAAATTCGATAGTCCGACACTACCCTGCATAATGTTTGTCGGATTACCGGAGGTCCACTGTATATGGCTTTGTACAAAGCATTGTCTCTTAACTTAACGATTTAAGATTTAACGTCATGGGACGTAGAGTATACCGTAATAATTGAATTGTACTTGCCATACGCATACTTCTTAATATAGTTGTCGTTGTTCTTCAGACTACTGACAATATCGATGAGGTTGCTGATTTTTCCATTGCCTTCCTGACACAATTTCACCAGGTGTTGGAAAGCGTCGGCGAAGTAGTCCAAAGCGGCTCTTTGCGGGAACGTTAACTTCATCCATTCGACCAATGTTTGGAGTTTGAAAAAGTAGCATATACCTCTTACACCGCTTTCGTAAGTGGGTGCGATCGCTGCTTTAATTTTCCAATAAACCTCACTGTCTTCTTCTAAGCTATACGCCTCTATCCCAACAAAGGTCCTGAAATAATTTTACACTCAAGATATGGTTGAAAATACCTTCAGAAGTAGCCTCAATGTATCTAAAGTTTCTACCTGCTCAGCGTATCGGTGGAATATCTTATCGAATTATCAATAACATCCACTTTCGTCGCGTCTTTCGATTTTATATACTTGACTAACTTTTCACCGTAAGAGTCCAGGACAGGAAACATTTGTCTCAGTTTACTCGAAGTAAAAGCGGTGGTAAACTTTTCTCTTGTTTCTTTCCACTCCTTTCCTTTCTGTAGCAGCATCATGCCTGAGAGGAAATATTGCACTGGTAAGCTTCAGAATCAAGACTTCTTTATGTGACCGAGTAACGCCATAGCACAGATAAAAGGATGAAAATAATATGAATGTACTTTATTTTTAACTATATACCGGTTTTTTTGAGACGTACATCCGTCCTAATATAACAATTAACAATCTGTCATAACCTACCGTCTTGCAGTTGCTCATGACTTGCGGATGACGTCGCTCTGTCATAGAAGTGACTGAAGTCTTTGATAAGCACGTCTCTTACTAACTCTGGCGATTTGATGATCATACACGGCTTGTCGAAGACGAATATGCCAAAATATGGTGCATCCATTCGTTCGTAACATTCTTTCATCCATTCCCCGATTGTTGTTCTGAACAGGACGACATCTGCAAAGTTGCCTAGGAACGGTACGGGTTTCAAGTATGGAATACCTTGATTCTTGAAATAATCGAGGTTTCTGGTTGCGTATCTATACAATACGTAGATAGCAACTGTGGAAAAGATACAGAGGTCCAGTGGTATCGACGAGGTCAGTAACATCTACAAATATCAGATAAATATAATAATAATATCGTTTATTGCTAAAAGGAAAAAAGTATAGAAGTATTAGATAAGAGGGAATGGTTTGCAATGAACGAATGGACCCAAAAAAGTTTAGCAGTAGCTTGTGTTTGGGCACGAGCACGTGTATATATATATATAACTTGAGACGTGGTCATTGTCGTCTAGACCAGTTAGGTGAAAAATTAAAGCTTCCGCCTTTTGTTGGGTACTTCGACAAAATTTAAGCAAAGAGGACTCTTTATACTTTTTTAATTCTCTCTAGCTTTCAATGGACTTTGCCATCATCATCAGGAGCTGCAATTACAATGATAACAGTAGCAACAAAAGTGTAAAATGAATTTAAATTGACTCAACTTACAGTAGTATGTGAGGATGTTGCTAATCGTTGTTTACGTATACGATGAGGGAAACGTCCAGTAACACGGTGAGAGCTGGATAGATGGTACAATGGTCAAAATTATATAAAATATGACAAGAACAAATTACAAAAACAGATTAAAAATTATTTAAAAAAAATTATTTAATAAAAATGCGCTCTAGCATCTCATGTTAACACAACAGGGCATTCTATGAATTACACAAGTAACAAAGTTCTTGATAAAGAAAAACACCTTTGCAAACGTTTATTCCTGGAAATGTCCCACATTTTCATGAATAACAACTGTATCAACAAAAAGACAGATGTTAAACAACTGAGTGTCATTTACTCATATTTGCTAAACTGCGAAAAATTGGAGAACTTACATATCTCCCCAAATTTCGACTCTTCACAACCATAAATATAATCTGTGTTTTGGCCGATTCCACCAACAAATTTCATTCCACTCAAAATCTAATAATTCTCTTCTCACGATTTATTAATAATTGTTAATTTAAAATTCCCATTAATTAAAATATAGTTTATTCAACTGCCTCTGGTCGGTTTAACAATTTCTTACATAACATTCTGAAAATCACATCATCTGAAGTGATTTGGCAACGTTGGCACACGCCCACAATTCGTTCCATCTTTCAACACAGACATTGACAACCTTCGGCCTTCTGTCAAAGGTTCATCTCACTCATTATTCCATGACCACCATTTTGTACAATCATCAAGTGGCTTCACGACGTAATGCTCTAATGTTTTCTAAATAATTTTTAATCTGTCTTTAACTTGTCTTGTCATATTTTATATAATTTTAACCATTGTACCATGTATCCAGCTCTCACCATGTTACTGGACGTTTCCCTCATCCTATACGAAAACAACAATTAGCAACATCCTCACATACTTACAGTAGTTGGTTCAATTTAAATTCATTTTACACTTTTGTTGCTACTGTTATCATTGTAATTGCAGCTCCTGATGATGATGGCAAAGTCCATTGAAAGCTAGAGAGAATTAAAAAAAAGTATAAAGAGTCCTCTTTGCTTAAATTTTGTCGAAGTACCCAACAAAAGGCGGAAGCTTTAATTTTTCACCTATATATATATATGGGTAGGGATACGTATGTAAACTACAGAAACAACCTAAATAAAATAATTAATAAACAAAACATTAACTATTATAAAGAACAAATCAATGAAAATCGACGCGGTTTTAAAAAGATTTACAAAATTATTTCTGATGCTGTTAATGAAAAAAGTAAACAGTCCAGCAAAATTGAAATTAGTGAAGATAATAACAAAACATTCACAAACGATAAACAAATGGCTGAATACTGCAACGATTTTTTCATTAATGTAGAGACGAAAATGGCTTTCAAAATAAAACCCCCTGATATTCCCTTCAAAATTAAATATAAATCATTAAGTTTCATGTTTGTAAAGCCTGGCAATAGAAATGAGATCATTAAACATATCAGTTCATTGAAAAACAACTGTTCACCCGGTTTTGATGGGATACAAACGAAAATTATAAAGCAATATTATTTGTACTTAATTGAGCCATTAGTACACATCATAAATCTAATTTTTAAAATTGGTTGTGTACCCCAATGCTATAAAACGACTATTGTTACCCCAATATATAAATCTGGAGATAAAACTGAAATTACAAATTTTCGTCCAATTGGAGTTATACTAAGTGACATATAAATCCGAACACAGAGAGTTTAAATGGTTTTATTTTAATAAAATTTTGTATAAGTACTTAATGAAGCATAATAAGTAAATGATAAAAATTTCTAAATGATTGCACTGCTTTAAAGCCCTTTGACCTTTAATAATGTGTGGATGCACCCTGATGTGCTACGCATTCTCCAATGCGCCTAGGCGTGCTTCTGATCAGGTGGTCCAGGTCCTCCTGTGGTATCTCACTCCAGGCGACCACCAACTCCTCTCGAAGTGCTTCTAGAGTCTGAGGAGGACGTTGCAAATTGAGCAATCTCCTACCCATCATATCCCACACGTGCTCAATTGGGGATAAGTCGGGAGATCTTGGTGGCCATGGTAACAATGTGACATCATTATGTTGAAAGAGGTCTATTGTGACTCTTGCAACATGTGGTCGGGCATTATCTTGTTGGAAAGTTGGATCTGCCAGGGTGTCAAGATAGGGTAAAAGATGGGGTTCTAGAACTTCGTGGATATAACGCTGTGCGTTCATGTTACCTCTGATGAAGATTAAAGGTGACCTGGAACCATAAGCTATAGCACCCCAAACCATAACTCCAACAGTGTGATGAAGATGTCTTTCAACAAAAAACTGTGGATTCCTCCTTCCAGCACGTCGCCTTCTAACCCTGGCACGACCATCGTGCATGCCTAAACAAAATCGAGACTCGTCACTAAAGACAATACTGTTCCATTCCTGATCCCAGAGTGACCGTTGTCTGCACCACTCAAGGCGATTACGTCGGTGTAAGGGTTAGAAGAGACTCGGAAAAAATACAAGGTGCAAAGAAGTTGTATTTTTAGATGCTCAACCAAACAGCACATATTAAACTTACAAAAAAGGCAGTGGCGTATAGTTTTTGCCAATAATATTCGCTAAGACGCCTCCCCCCCCGGACGCCTGGACCTAATAATTTTAATCTATCGAGCACGAGATTGGCCTTTTAATACAACAAATAATATCAACTTTCACTATTTTTAAGGTAATATTATTTTTTTTTATGTTTTTTAATAAGCAATCACTCTCTAAAACATCTTGGTTTATTTTTCGAACACCCTGTAGTGATGCTCTTGATGAATGAATCCTTCTCCCATGTTTAAGGACCTCTTTATATGCGGTTGTTTACAACAAATAAATCAAAACGTTAAAGAACGTTTTAAATATTAGAATGTTTGGTAGGACAAACTTACCATTAGTTGTTTCTACTAATCAACGTATGCAATTTATGATCGTTTATCTGCTAACATGCGACGTTTATAGCTGATGATATAATTGACAAAAATGTACCAAAACACCAGAGTACCACTTGTGAAAGTATCGGATACAGGGTCAAAGCACACATAAAGCACCTGCTATAAGCCAACGAAATAATTCAGAAGAACATTTTGAAGAACCTTAATATTTTGAGAAAATGCCTAACGGTGACGAAAAATTGTAATCACGAAAACTTTCGAAAATGAGATGTTGTGATTTTTGGATGTTCTACGACATGATCATTGAATAAATGATTTTAAGGGTGAAAGTTAGAAGAGTGATGTAGGAAGATGGGGTGGGGTATGTCTCAATTTTTTGTTTTTAGTATATCATTTACACGCTCCCGACATCGATAACTATACGTAGTCTATACTATTAGACATTTTTCATAAATTACAGATTTCCCCCGTCGATCTTCCTTTAAAACTTGACAGATTATATATGTATAAACATGTTTGATCGACTTGATCTGCTAAATTTCGGTGTTTATACAATGTTCGTTATTATCTTTTTCCTTAGAGGATCTAGTTTGTGCTGAACCTACATTTTTTAATGTAACTCTGGCGAGAAAGCAACCACCTGCCCGTATGGGCTTTTCGGATTGATTTAAACCAAACAAGAACACGCAGAGCGAGTTATCTTTATCAAATACTGAATTAATTGTTAATGTTATCACTCAACACTATAGCGGTCCTATCACTAGAGACTGATTAAAGAGAGAAGTAAAGTTTCCGTCAGGTTTAATGGTATGGGGAAGCATATCTGCTTTTCGCGTTGGAAAACTTGATAGACGGAAGTGTAAACCCAGGTAAATATCAAAATATCCTCAAAACCAATATGCTAGTGTCAATTCCAATTTTATCATATACAGGGTGTCCGCAAAGTCGGGGGTTTTCCTTTACACGACGTGTAGATCTTGAAAACATAAGCAATTTTTCTTAGTACCATATACACCAATGTCTTAAGGGAACCGAGATAAAGGGCTCTGCAACATCAAAAATATCTGAATACTGTCCTGTAGCCGCGACATCACCGACTGGTACAAGGTCAGTGGCTCAACCCGATGACAGAACTGGGTCGGGGTCAGTGTGTCAGTTCAGTATGCAACCTTCAACCGACGGTTACGGTCACGCGTGTAGAGGTAATCGCGTAGACGAGAATCCCTCAACAAGTAAGTGCAAGTATCAAAAACTAAAGTGTGACAAACGCTTCGTGAAGAGGGGCTGTATCCGTTTCACGTCCAACGTGTACAAGCCCTTCAACCTGACGATTTTCCAGCAAGAGTGCGGTTTTGTGAGTGGTTGTTGCATCAACATGACAATAATCCGGACTTTTTGAGGTGCATATTGGTGACAGACGAATCTACGTTCACGCGTAATGGGGTGAATAACTTTCGCAACACTCATGTTTGGTCAGTAGAAAATCCGCACGCTGTCCTTCGGGCACATTTTCAACAAACATTTTCGGTGAACGTTTGGGCTGGCATGGTGAACGGTATGCTCATTGTACCATTTATTCTCCCAAATCGATTGGACGGGATGCAATACCTAGACTTTTTACGCTACATTTTGCCTTCCTTGTTAGTAGATGTGCCATTAAGTGTAAGACAATCAATGTGGTTTCTGCACGATGTTCATATTTGTTACCTCTGTTCGTGGTCTGCACCACCGCCGGCGTCTGCTCGGTAGCGCATCAGCTGATTTCATTTTCTGTTGGAGCGGTATGATTTCGGGCAGAGACGTACTTAGTCCTTCTCGTCAACTGGAGAGTGAGTACTTTTTCCTTTATTTTTTTACTTGGTCGCCCTCGTTTCACTACACATTACCCTTGTTATTTCAAGGGTAGTTGTTTCTGAAAAGGAAAACCCCTTCTTTGCGGACACCCTGTATAGGTGATAGAAACTTTCAAAACCACGCTAATAATATTTCCGTCTTTGGCTCGCCTTCCGGTGGTCCCTATTTGAATATTTACGACACTGTATGGCACAAAATGAGGCAACAGTTGAGAAATGATCCACAACGAAACATTTCTGTTTTACGAGTAAAATTACTAAATATATGTGACTCTTTTAAAGCGGAAGACAGCAAAAACCATGTTAAAACTATGCAAACCAGAATTAATGCTGTTAGGAGACGTCACGAGCTTTTGAAGTGGTTGGTTCGAATAGCTTTTGCTGTTCTAAAACTTATCTTTGAACCTTTTTTCTGAAAATGCGTGGGAGTGTTCGGTTATTCGAATATTGGCGAATCTCTTTGTATTGCGGTTCAGTAAAAATTTAGAAAACGCAATCAAAGATCGACGATTAACGACTTTCGTGATAATGTGCAGGTTACCGCGTCTATATCACCCTATACGTGGCAAAATAATGTTACCTAGATTATAGCAATTATAACCTTCCGTGCATGAAAACATCAAATCGACACTACACATTATAAAGCTATGTTACTGTGCGCTGGCTTATGGAAGTCAACTTTTCGTTAACTTATTTCGCAGGTAGCCTAGCATTATGAAATACATCTATCTCTGCAGCTGCTTCATTTGAAATGAAAGTAGACGGCATTTCTAATGACTATTACGGCATCTCTGCATTCCAACTCTGCTTTCACAGCTGTTCCAGGATAAAAATCGACGTAGGTTCTCACACAAAATTGTGATCAGTTCACAAATGATTTTGTTTCTACACAATTCATTTCGAAACCTTATGCCAATCCCCAAATCCTGGAATCCTGACTTGATTTGCATAGTTAGCATGAGAAAAGGTGCTGCCCCCTCGCACCAAAAAAAAATTATGAGGGCTTATACATAGCGTATTCTCATTCCCTGGTCAATCTCCTCAATTTTTAATAAGGTAATTTTGGAGAACTAAAATTTAGAATGTTGAAATTGATGCACGAATACTACATCTTACGGTAAAAGAGATAGTTGGATATTACAAGGTCGCGGCGGACCACCTCCTTGGACGATCATTTTAGAGGAAATGGGGGGGCCCATATACAGGGTGTCCCAGAAGTCGACGTCAAGCCGAAACCGGGTGATAGGCAAAGTCATAACAGCTACCAGAAAAATATTTAAAAAAATTTTATGTATGTTTTGAAAATTATAGGTCTTTGAAAAAGATATAAAAATTTCACACCCTACGGCAGTCTGTCAACTCCTGTTACTACAAATATTAACTTTTTTTCGATTTTATTTTTACAATGTAATGATGAATAATGCATCTTCAAACTGGTGTCTCAACCTTACTGCCAACTTTTCTCGTTCAGGAAAAATTGTCACTTATTTCCCAACCAAGTATTCCAAAGTAAAACTTTGCTCAACTTTAACTGGCTGTACTGGAAAAAAATGTACTACGAGAGTTTGGCAAGTAACCTTAAAAGTTATCGCATTTAATAACGATTCCAAAATGGTATAACACTTAGAAGATTACACGTTAACTTATGCACAATTTTTATTTGAAAAAAAAACTGATGAAAATTTTTCAAAATTTCCTAATTAAACAGCGATTATGAAAACGCACATGGACCCTTAAGGATAACTGTTTGCACAACAGTGGGCGTCAAAATGCCGCTGATGATGATTTACCTTTACAGCAAATGCTCAAACTGTTTTCCTTCAGCCGCAATACACGCTCGACATCTTCTTAAAAAAGATCGGGTTATTAAACAACCGAATCCACGGTTATTAACAAACTCAGCTGATTCCAATAGTCTTTGCCGTAGCTCAGCTACATTTTGAATCGGCTTGAAACACACTTTTTCTTTTACAGTTCCCCAGTAAAAAAATCTAAAGGATTCAAATCAGGTGATCGGGCTGGCCACGGTATTGTACCAGACCGCCTTATCCATCTGCCTGGAAAGTTTTGATCGAGATACTCTCTCACTGAGAGTGCATAGTGCGCTGGGCAGCCATCATGCTGAAACCACATGTCCCTGTAAATACTCAGTGGCACGTCCACCAATAAATTTTGTACATGATTTTTCAAAAAATCCAAATAAACTTCAGCAGTCAAAGTCTCTGGGAACTCAAACGGACAGATTATTTTACCATTTAAAATTCCTGTCCAATGGTTTATCTTGAAGCGATATTGAGATTTATCTTCTCTCATCAAATGTGGGTTTGCTACGTGCCACTCGTGTAAGTTATGCAGGTTCATGTACCCATCTTTCTTAAATGTGGTCTCATCCCACCATAAAATTTTTTCAAAGAACTGTGGATCTTTCCTGTGTCTTTCTAACATTGTGCGACAAAAAGCAACACGGGGCTCATAATCCCGGGGCAGGAGAGGTTGAACACGCTGTACGTGGTATGGATCATCATCAGCAGCATTTTGACGCCCACTGTTGTGCAAACAGTTATCCTTAAGGATCCTTGTGCGTTTTCACAATCGCTGTTTAATTAGGAAATTTTGAAAAATTTACATCAGTTTTTCTTCAAATAAAAATTGTGCATAAGTTAACGAGTAATCTTCTAAGTGTTATACCATTTTGGAATCGTTATTAAATGCGCCAACTTTTAAGGTGACTTGCCAAACTCTCGTAGTACATTTTTTTCCAGTACAGCCAGTTAAAGTTGAGCAAAGTTTTACTTTGGAATACTTGGTTGGGAAATAAGTGGCAATTTCTCCTGAACGAGAGAAGTTGGCAGTAAGGTTGAGACACCAGTTTGAAGATGCATTATTCATCATTACATTGTAAAAATAAAATTCAAAAATGTTAATATTTGTAGTAACAGGAGTTGACAGACTGCCGTAGGGTGTGAAATTTCTATATTTTTTCCAAAGACCTATAATTTTCAAAACACATACATAAAATTTTTTTAAATATTTTTCTGATAGCTGTTATGACTTTGCCTATCACCCGGTTTCGGCTTGACGTCGACTTCTGGGACACCCTGTATATGTATGAGCCTAACGTCAAGCTTTATAGCTTCTGCGTGCCCCTTTCGCTTTTCGGCACGAATTCTTTGAATGGAGGACTTTTTTATACTTAAACGCCTATTTAATGCTATGCAGTTATGAAACTTTTCCTGATTACAGTTTGATTAGTATCAGGCTGTCCGCTCTGAGTTGAGATGTGTAAAGTTTGATGTAAATCTATCTC